ATGGTGCAAGGAATCCCAGTAGTAATTTAATGGGCCCCAAGTTTGGAAGCCTGTTCTATAAAAACCATGTGTCCTTTATCATCCTCTTAGATTTTCTCCACTGACTTAGGAAATAGATGCGGTTCTGTCCAATACTGATGTGATAATTTGATATAATAGAAGAGTGGCCCCTTAGTGCTCATTTCTAAGTTAAATAAAAACTAAAAATAGAAGCCATGCCTGAAGAACTTGAAAGCAGCTCATGGTTTTCTTTCCTTTCAACCCAGTTTTGTATCAGCCTGTGCACTTTGTTAAATCATACATGACTTCGATCAGAAAATCTAAGTTTCACCCTGCAGCAAACGGACTAATGAAGGATTTCCTATAGACAGCCAAGATGATAGATGTGCAGCTATTTGAATGATTTTTCATTTTTTTATACCTCTGCTCGCATTCTCACGCCAATTTCATTAGGGGTTCATTTGTAGGAACTAAAGTAAATCTAGTCTATTCTCAGTGAAGAATTTTTATTTAAATATTTCCTGTTTGGTTTCACTTTTTAAATTTAAGTTGTGCACGTGTGTGCATGAGTGTGTATGTCCAGACACATGCATAGATATGGTTATATGTATATAACATATATATATATATGTACTAGCTACAGATGAATTACACACACTAAAATTGTAAAAGATATTTAGCATCTGTATTCACTTAATTATCTTCTAGTTATTTGTCACACACACACACACACAGAAAAAACACCTACTGTGTTTAGATTAGGAGTGATCTAAAAGAAAATGGATTTTGGCTTTAACATCAAATTACACATTAACAAAAGGGCAAGGATGTCTGACCCCATTAGAGTTCTTACCATTGATTTGCAGTGCATGGAAAGACTTGGAATTATTCTCCTATTCACTATGATGTAATGCAAAAGAGGAAGAAAAATTTAGATTATTATTTCCCGTAATAAAAATCTGAAATTTCCTATTCTAGCGGCAATAATGCTCCTTTCAACATGGTATCTACGCCACCTGACAAGTAGTGGGGAAAATGTGATTTCTGTTTGTGGGCACCTTTTCCACGAAGCATACTGAGCGCACCTCTCGTACACATTTTTTTTTTGTCTTTGTCGTTCTTTCCACGACCCTGAATGAAACTTGACATCAGTGTGTTTCTTTCACTGTTCAATGGCTAGGGGGAGAGGTTGGTGATTCAAGAGGTTCATTTCAGGCACAGGAAATCTCAAAAGCCAAATATTTCATCAGCTAAAATTCCTAGAGGGTTTGAAAAAGATAGTTTACCGTCAAGGAAAGGGGCCAGTTGTTTAAAATGTCTGGTCTCAGACAACCACGTGGCTTCTTCTGTTCATTTGCCTTGAACACACATTTAAAGTGAAATGATCTCCCTGGGGCCAGACTTCTAAGGACCAGCACAGTCCTTTAGGTAGCACGGATGGCTCCGTTTCCAAAGGGATCAGCTACCATCATTTGCTTTCTATAATCAGAAGGGAAACTCTAGTCACCTGGGTCTGCAGGGTTCCTGGTGTCTACACAACTTGTAAAAAACATATCACGCCCCTAGAGTTTTTTTTTAAAACCACTGTTTATTTGCAAGTAAGATGTCTTTGCCAAGAAAATTTTGTTTCCTCTCCTTGCTGTGACAGTATCACACCACACAGCTACACTGTGGCTGTCTGCCTCTCTCTCTCCTCCAATCTTACTCTTGGGAATTCCTGGACAAGTTCAGATGGATCATGTGGATGGTGGATTGGCAGGCAGGTCTAATTGTCACAGATCAGGTGCCTTAGGAGAACAATCCATTCTTTCCTCAAATCCTCACTTTCTGGGTTCATTGAATCCAATGCTGATAAACCCACATACATGTTTTGTTTTGTTTGTTTGTTTGTTTGTTTGTTTGTTTGTTTTTTGAGACAGAGTCTCGCTTTGTTGCCCAGGCTAGAGTGAGTGCCGTGGCACCAGCCTAGCTCACAGCAACCTCAAACTCCTGGGCTCAAGCAATCCTTCTGACTCAGCATCCTGAGTGGCTGGGACTACAGGCATGCGCCACCATGCCCCGGCTAATTTTTTCTATATATATTAGTTGGCCAATTAATTTATTTCTGTTTATAGTAGAGACGGGGGTCTCGCTCTTGCTCAGGCTGGTCTCGAACTCCTGACCTCGAGCGATCCGCCCGCCTCGGCCTTCCAACCCACACGCATCTTAAGTTTGAGTTATAGGACACACTGTGGTCTGACACTCAGAATATGAAAGCAGTGTCCTCTTGTAAAGAAAAGTGTTTGCATTTGTTCTCTCCCAGAAGCAGGACCTCCTCTGTTGATAGTTTAAATTAGAAGAGGAAAAAAAGAATCCCTTCATATTGTATAAATTCTGAAGATGTCATGGGAGAACCTATGGCAACACCACTGTCAAAAAAAACCCACGTTCATTTGTTAAACCCTGGAGACGCGTGGATAGCTGTTTCCCTCAGCCCGCTCTGTAGGACCTTGGGGAGGAATTCAACATTGCAAAGATCAAACTATGCAATAGGAAACGCTGCTAGAAGAACTAAGATTTCTTGAAAGCCGGGGTATTCATAGCCTGCCGTTGGAGAGGTTACAGCAGTCACGTTTTGCCAGGAGGGAAGGTTTCCGATAGGAAGTGCGGTCTGTGATTGCTTTAACCATGTGTCGTACATTCCATACTCTCCGGGAGAAAACAAAGTAAGCAAAGAGGCATTCTGCAAGAAACGAGGAAGGAGAGAGGCAAGTGAAAAAGATGTGTTAAAGACAGAATACTTTGCCAGAAAATTACTTGAGCCTTAGGAATTAATGCCTCTTCATTAACAGGGGAAGACAGCATTGCCTTACGGTCAGCGGGGCACCTAAGCTGGCACTGTTACCCATTGTCATGGATACGCTGCATGAAAGGGCCTTTTTCCAAGCAAAGTGTGAGTCCTTTTGTGAACGGCTGTGCAAAAGGTTTAGCGATGAATGCAGGTGTTGCAGAAAGTTTTTGGCACGAAACCTAATTAGTGATCGCTAATTAAATAAGGTGGGTGGGTAATGTCTGAACACTCATCAAAGCTCATTTCACATCAAATCCCTCAGAATGTCAGAGAGGGCGCGATTGTGGATGTGTCTTAAGTGTGCAAGCTGCATGACGTTGCCTCAATCTGTAGGCACAGGGCATGGTGAGTCCCAAGTCAAGCTTGGAGGGTTTTTTTTTTTTTTTTTTTGTCATTTTAGAACAAAAAGCATCCTGCAGCTTCCTCTGAGCCAGGCCATTCATTTCTGATCCCCCTCTTCTTGCTCCGAGAGTGCATTTTCCCGCAGGTGCTCAGGATAAAGCTCTTGGGGAGAAGCTAGCTGGCTCAGTCCCTTTGCAGTCCCCTGCTTTGCTTTCTCTTTCGTTCTAAAACGTGGAAGCCGGCACACAGTTGCTCTTTGGCATGCTGTCAGCTTCGGGGAGGGATGCGGTTTGAAGGAGTTGGTTTTACTTACGTCATTTTAGGGCTTGAATCAATTTGTCTTCCAGTGAACACGAGTGCAGGTGACTGCAATCACATAATAGGCATTCATTGAAGTGAGCGCATGACATGGCTCTTGGAAAAAAGAAACGACACGTATCAGTGTTGGATATTTGTGGGAGGCTCAGCTGAGAATATGAACGGTTAAAAACCTTTTTTTTTTAACACTTCTTTGTTTCTTCTCATTTTCTTTCGGGAGGCGTATCCAGTACAGATCTGGACATAAACTTGGATTAAAGCATGTGTGTCAAATTAAACTTGCAGGATGCTTTACAAAGTAATCGCAGTTTTGAATCTGAGTAGGAGGCTGTGTGGTTTCCCACAAAAAAAAAAAAAAAAAAAAAAAGAAAGACTTCAAAACATCAGAGCACAGCAGTTGTTATTTTTTCCCACGTCAAGCTATTTTGCAACATGGAAGGAACAGCACGTGAGACAGTAACTGATCACTTTGCTACAGTAAAAATCAGAATTGCCTTATTGCAACTTGTAAGGGGGAGGTAAGAAGTTGATACCTTCAGCTAAACGTAGATCCTCAACTTCCTGCTTCTTTGTAAAATAAGAAGGACCCAGTTCATGATGTTTGGGGGACAGTTGGGGACATTTGAATATGCAGTGGCTTGGGGCTGAGGGTAAAGAGTTATATCTTTTGTGTGTAACTAATATTTTTGCTATATAGAGAAATAGAGGTGCATACGAGGCTATTTAAGAGCGGGGTCCGCTGATGGCTGTAATTGACTTTGATTTGTAAGCATTAAAATGAGTAAATTTAATATACTAAAAACAAACCCAATGGGAAAAACTGACGCGCACTGTTTTCGTATAAGTGGCACAAACTTTTAGACACATGCACCCATGCGAGCACACACACATTCTTACTGCCCTGAAAAATACCTTGTAGGAACCTGTTGCATTTCTCAAAGGCAATGAAATGCGCACAGGGATGACAGCTTGACTCCAGCGAAATTTATAAAATCTCCTGGGGTTGCTTCATGTTATAAATATTTTAGATTAATTTCACCTTCGCCATGAGCCCATATATACATACTCACGGATGACATGTTTTTATCATAATGTCAACCCAACAACTACCATTATTTATATAATATGATGCTCTCTGCCACAAAATATTTTTTCTGCTATTTCCTCTAAATAAGCAGTCCCCAACCTTTTTGGCTCGAGGGACGGTTTTCATGGAAGACAATTTTTCCACCAACCCAGGAGGTGAGGGGGATGGTTTGGGGATAATTCAAGTGCATTATTACCTGTAGTGTGAACTTTATTTCTATTACTATTACATTGTAATATGTGATGAAATAATTAATTATACAACTCACCACAGGTTGGGCACCCCTGCTCCAATTCATGGGGGCTTGGTAGGTAGGGAAAGAAAGAACAAGATAAACCGCGAGACATCTTTTCAATGAGCAGAGATGGTACCCGTGCATCTTACAGTTGACAACCCCCCAAAATATCCTGTGTTCTCTTGCAGGGTTCTTAAGCACCGGCGACCAGGCGGCGAAAGGCAACTACGGGCTTCTGGACCAGATCCAGGCCTTGCGGTGGATCGAGGAGAATGTGGGAGCCTTTGGTGGGGACCCCAAGAGAGTGACCATCTTTGGCTCCGGGGCCGGGGCCTCCTGTGTCAGCCTGCTGACCTTATCACACTATTCAGAAGGTAACAAAGGTGTCCCGGGAGTGGGCGGGCAGAACCCCTGAACCGGGAAATGAACACTCACCGTGTTCACATCCCGGGTGCATGGCCGGGTTGCCCAAAGTCTCTCTGAAAACCTCAACAAAAGCCCCCCACCCCCACCCCACCCCCCGAGGTTGCACACACCCATCTTCTCTGCCTTCAACTCAGCCTTCTTTCCGCGTGTACGCTATTTTATTTCTCCTAATGTAAATTCAGGACAACTAGATGTCGGTGAACCACGATGATGACAAAATAACGTCTTCAGAAGCCCCGAGGCCCTTGTGTCCTTTGCCATTCAGACTTCATTTTGGCCCACTCGAAATTGTACCGACTTCTAATTTAAACGTGGTGGAAGTGATGTCAGAGAGAGACAGAGGGTCGATGTCGCAGGCAGATTTGTAGATTTCATACTCAACAGGGCTTTTAGCGATGTGCTTTCGAGAAAGTCACTTCTCTAATTCATGGTGATTCTTTGAGTCTCATGCAAACGTTAAGAGCATGGTGGCCGGCGTGGTGGCTCATGCCTGTCATCCTAGCACTCTGGGAGGCCGAGGCGGGAGGATCGCTCAAGGTGAAGAGTTCGAAACAAGCCTGAGCAAGAGTGAGACCCCATATCTACTGAAATAGAAAGAAATTAGCTGGAAAACTAAAAATATATATAAAAAATTAGCCAGGCATGGTGGTGCATGCCTGTAGTCCCAGCTACTAGGGAGGCTGAGGTAGGAGGATGGCTTGAGCCCAGGAGTTTGAGGTTGCTGTGAGCTAGGCTGACGCCACGAACTCTAGCTCGGACAACAGAGTGAGACTCTGTCTCAAAAAAAAAAAAAAGCATGGTGCATCTGTGCAGAAGTAGATTACCTAGAAGAGTGGTCTCTCTCTTTCTCTCCCTGTCTCTTCATCTCTTTCTCCTTTTTTTCCTCTCTTCATTTCTCTACATCTCTTTCACCCTCTCCCTCTGCCTTTCCCCCTCTGTCTCTCTCTCTGTCTCTCTCCCTCTCTCTCTGTCTCTCTCTCTCTCTCTCTCAACTGCAGATATCTCTCTGGAAATTAGGTGCACAGGGACCTGAGGGCCGTGCTGGGTGAGGTTAGCCCAAGGCTCTTGGAAGGGTCCACAGGTTGCTTTCCCGCTGCCTCTCCTGGTGGATGTCTCAGACCCTCCCGGGTGCCCTGCTTATAGCCAGGGGAAACGGCTCATGGCCAAGCACAAGAAGGGCAACTGCAAAACACATGCGTGTCGTGATGCCCAAACAGACGTAAATTGGGAGGAGTATTCAGCACTCCCAGCACCCCCCTCCTCCCTGCCCTGGAGCCTGAGGCTTCTCCCAGAGACTTGCTCAGTGGGATTCCCTGCTGCACACTGGGGAGGGGGCTCCCAGCAACATCACATGAGACATTCGAAAGAGAGGTCCACAAGAATCAGAGCAGGGTAGTGACTTCAGGGCTGTGGCTGCAAAGAGAGGAGCAGGACCATCTGCAAAGCTGGCCCAGCTCTGGATCACCTGGCCATGCACAATCAATCAATATTTATAAGAACCACCTAAATCATCACATTTTGTTCTGTTGTCATCAGGGTGGCTTACGGATCGCACCATACCAAGTTGAACTGTTTGTGCCAAAAGTACTCAAAACTTGAATTTTTTCTTTCAAGTTATCTCACAGTACCTTTCTTTAAAGCAACTCCAGGACGCATAAATATATATGTATTTTTTTGAGACAGAGGGTTACTCTGTTGCCCGGGCGAAGATGAGTGCCGTGGCGTCAGCCTAGCTCACAACAACCTCAAACTCCTGGGCTCAAGCGATCCTCCTCTCCCAGCCTCCCAAGTAGCTGGGACTACAGGCATGCGCCACCATGCCCGGCTAATTTTTTCTATCTATATATTTTAGTTCTCCAGCTAATTTCTTTCTAATTTTTAGTAGAGACGGGGTCTCACTGTTGCTCAGGCTGGTCTCAAACTCCTGAGCTCAAACGATCCGCCCATCTCGGCCTCCCAGAGGGCTAGGATTACAGGCGTGAGCCACCGCGCTCGGCCCATAAATATATTTTTAAAGAAGGTGCCACTATGTTTTGTGATGGCATTACATTATTTTCTTGATTTCCTATATCACCGTGGCCGAGTTGCTGAATCTTTATGTCCCCTCAATATCTTCATTAATAAGATAGGATTTCGGAGGATTTCTAAGTCCTCTGAAATCTGAATTCCTTAATTCTTTATTTCATGATGCTTTGCCTATGAAACAAAAGGGCCTTTCACCTCTTACCAATGCCAGCTAGGGATAGACGGAAGGTTCACATTTATGTTAACTCTTTATTTTTTTTAAAAAAAGTGAATAATCTGATCAATCATTTGTCTGATAATTTCCTCTGGCATTTTAGAACATATCTAGGTTTCCCCTTTTCTCAATCCATAGAATCACAGTTCAGGATTTAGAAAACAGTGAGGATCAACTTTGCAATTGACCAAACACATGACAGCCAAGCTCATTAGAGGAAGCGTGTTAATTGTTTAAAGGAGCAGATTAGAAATGATTATTCGCTGTAGCAATTTGCACCGGCTGGTTCTGCAAGGCGGCTCTTCCAAACAACCCAGCAGTATCATCCAGAATTACGGGAAATGCCCAGACTTTTTGCCTTAGGAATTCCTTGTCTAGTTATCCAGTCTAGTAAAATCAGATCTCACGTGGAAAGAGATAATTTTATTATTAATACCAACAGCTAAGAATGAAATAAAAAGCTAAAAGTGCAAAAAGACTAAAAAAGAAAAGGAACCATGCACATTTACTCAGAAGAACAATAATTTGAGACTTGCACCTAAGATATACAACAACTTGAAAAACATGGCATAGACAGCTATGGATATATTGTGGACAGTTATGCCAAACAGATTTTTGCGCTGGGGTGCGGGGAGAAGCTAACATAAAAATAGACTAATTCCTAGCTGACTCATTGAGCTAAGGTAACGTCTGTTTTAAAGTATGAATTGCAGTGATGTTTTTCTTTATATAATTTTTTGCATATTATCAATAGATTACTTCCATAGCATACAAATAAGTATTATATATATACACATATATATGTGTGTGTGTGTGTGTGTGTATATATATAACTTATATATACACTGCTACCTAAATTATTACCCGTCCTTGTGACAAGTGAATAAAAAAAGAACGTCTAGCAGCATTTTCTCTAATTGTGACTGCTTTAACATACGGAAGTCTCAGATCAAATACTGACGATGTTTTCTGTGGGTGCTTTAAAATAATATTTAGAGCTAAACACTCAAGTCAATACTTGCCCATTTCTGATGGAAATGCACTCAAAGTGGCTTTCATGACATACTGGGCAAAGCCAGATGGGTTTAACGTCTCCGTTTTGTATGTCATCTCTGGGCAACTGTCCAATCTTTAAAATCACATCTTCCCGATTACAATCATATTTTCCTCCTATTTGACTGCTTACGTGACCTTAAAAATTGACAGGGCATGAACTTCTGGACTCACAGCTGAATGCTTTATTCTTTGGTGCCAAACTCACACTGGAATTCACAGAAACAGCAGGAAGATGTCGTAAATAGAACGCCGCGATTTTCACGCCCTCCCCCCCCCCAGCTCTTGTCCTGTCCTGGTTAAAAATAGAGACTTTATACTTCTGGACATCCATGCAGTACACAGAACTCACGGAAAATGTTAAACCACACAGAATTTTGCTCCTAAAATTGCCCGAGCTTTTTCAAGTTTCTCACCAAAGGGGGCATTTTTAAAATGTGGCAGATACAGCCATAGTTACTAGAGATAAAAACGATTAATAAACTCCATGTACTGAAGACATTCACAATACAATGAAAGAGACAGATACGCAAGCTAGTAATAATACAACACATAGTCATAAATATTTTCTTACTGATAGACATTGTGTATTTAATGAAAAGACAGAAAAAAATAAATCAAGTGAAACACGATTCACACGAAACACAAAAAGTGTGGCAGAATAAAACACACAAAACTCTGGGTTTTGAATGGGTGCAGTTTTAAAATGAGTGTTTTTTTTTTCTTTAAGTGCTTGTTAGTTGCGTACTCAATTGAGGATTTTCTTTAGGCATAGCTCATTTAATTAATGTATTTTAATTGTAAATTCCTAATATCTTCATTAGACTGAGGGCAGAACTATAAAAATGCCTTCCTTAGTTAGCAGTCTGAAGTTGATTCAGGTGGATTTCTCTTTGCCGCAATGAAGGGGTGCCTGGTTTTGGTTGTGAGACAAAGGGTCCTCTGCCCTCTTGCTAGTGCAAAGCATGTTTTTTGGGGGGAATGGAGAATGCAGTTTCTCTGAGCGGTTTTACTTACGCCCTCTGAAACCAAGGAAGCCAAAACCACGCTGCATTATGGAAGCAAGAGCAAGTGCATATACATATATATTTTTTTTCACTGCTGCAAGAAAGGTGTTTGCTGGGTGTATGGTTGCATTTTCTAAAATTCCGTTCTGTGTGTGTGTGTGTGTAGGATAACACCCCCTAAAAGGAATGCCCAGGGGGAGCGGGGGAAAGGGGAAACGAACTGGGAATGTGTGAAAGAGAGGCTGAGGGAGCTGAATGCAGTATATAGCCACAAATTCACAAGCCAGAGAGACAATCGGAGCCTTCTTTGCTCGCTCAAAGCTGCTGTTCTCTCGTGCGGGTTTTCATTTGCATGCCCACAATTTCGCACCTGCAGGTCTGTTCCAGAAGGCCATCATCCAGAGCGGCACGGCCTTGTCCAGCTGGGCGGTGAACTACCAGCCTGCCAAGTACACTCGGATATTGGCAGACAAAGTGGGCTGCAACATGCTGGACACCACCGACATGGTGGAATGCCTGCGGAACAAGAACTACAAGGAGCTCATTCAGCAGGCCATCACCCCGGCCACGTACCACATAGCCTTCGGCCCCGTCATCGACGGTGACGTCATCCCCGACGACCCGCAGATCCTCATGGAGCAGGGCGAGTTCCTCAACTACGACATCATGCTGGGCGTCAACCAGGGCGAGGGCCTGAAGTTCGTGGACGGCATCGTGGACAACGAGGACGGCGTGACGCCCAACGACTTTGACTTCTCCGTGTCCAACTTCGTGGACAACCTGTACGGCTACCCCGAGGGCAAGGACACCCTGAGGGAGACCATCAAGTTCATGTACACGGACTGGGCGGACAAGGAGAACCCGGAGACCAGGCGGAAAACCCTGGTGGCTCTCTTCACGGACCACCAGTGGGTGGCCCCCGCGGTGGCCACTGCGGACCTGCACGCCCAGTACGGCTCGCCCACCTACTTCTACGCCTTCTACCACCACTGCCAGAGCGAGATGAAGCCCAGCTGGGCAGACTCGGCCCACGGGGACGAAGTGCCCTACGTCTTCGGCATCCCCATGATCGGGCCCACGGAGCTCTTCAGCTGTAACTTCTCCAAGAACGACGTGATGCTCAGCGCTGTGGTCATGACCTACTGGACCAACTTTGCCAAAACCGGGTATGTTCTCGCTTACGCCCGGGTCCTCTTCCTTGCCTGTTTGGTCACTCGGTACAGGTGTGGTTGCTGTGATGGAGCGAGATGTCCCGGGCAGGTGTGCGTGCATGCACACATGCATGCACACACACAAATGCACACACATACATGCACACATACATGCAAATATGCACACATGCACATACAGGTGCACACATAAAGACATACATGCACACGCACACACACACGCATTCCAAGGGCATCTATGGGAACTCGTTTTTTTGTTGCTGCTCTTGTTGGATTTTTTTTTCCCTTTTTTCCTGAAGCGTTTTACCTCAAGCCAGATTTTGACCAGAGTGCTAGCTGCATACTGGAAATTCTGTAGCCCCTACCTGCTGGGGCAGGGTTGATATATATAGTCGGCTGTTGCAGTAAAAGTGGACCACAGGGTTTCAAGTCAAACCGTGACCTCGTTTCATCTGTTACATTGTAAGGTATCAAAGCACATGCACCACAGGGGGGATTGTACTGACCGGGTAGCCATAAGGATGAAAAACGTCTCATAATAATTATAGAGAGTATAAATATATGTTTCTCTATATATAGATTATATGTATGTTCAGTATATCTCTCTATATAAATTATATATATTTGATATATATTATCTTTATGTAGTTCTATATTTAATATGTATATTTCCTTTGCTATATATATATATGTAAAACAAATGACATGTATGAATATATATCATATTGCTATAGATACATGGCATCTTTTCACTTTCTCTGGTCTAATAACATAACCGTGGGAATTAATGAGGCATCATTTTCTTCTACCTGCATGTACTGTTGTTAACCTTGAGAGCTTCTTGCACTGAAATAAAAATGAAGAGATATGTCATATTGCTGTAGACACACGCATATGTATATCTCAAAGGGAAGCTCGCCCATTGGCCTGTGTATAGTAGAAAATGCAGAATACTAAAAGCACACAAACAACAGAGTCTTCCAATATTCTGTTGAGCAGATTCTCAGCAAACACTGAGAGTAAAGACTCCAGCACCTCTTAAGTAGCTGCAAACATCGTGACATCTTTTCACTTTCCCTTGCGTAGTAACGTGATTGTATAAATTAACAAGACAGCCTTCTGTTCTACCTGCCTGGGCTGCTGTCGATAACCTTGGGAGCCCCTTGCACTGAATTAAAAATGAAGCTACGTGTGTCGGGGAGTGGGGGTAACGCTTCCCATGTGACCCCAAGTGCCAGAGTCAAGCTGCCAGGCTGCAGCAGCCTTCAGTGCACGAGACTGAGGCAGTATCTGCTAAGAGAATTTGGGGTTGCCAAAGTTTCCAGTGCTGAGGGGTTTAGTAGGTATCATTTTTTTACAAGAATTGCAAGTTTTTTTGGGGGGGAGGGCAGGGAGTGGTTTAAAAATGCTTTGTGCTCTTAGCCAAAGTATGGCGTGTTTATGGAGCGGAAAAGGAATTCTATGGACACGAACTTCCCAAGCTCAGACTTTGTACATGTGGTCTTAGAAAGGCTAGCTAGAGGGCCCTGGGGAAGGGCGGAGGTTGCAACAGTTGCTGGAGATGCTTGCCTGTCACCTAAAGGTTCAGTCCTGGGCGAGGAAATGATTGAAACCAAAGTGTTTTTAAGTCGACCTTGTTTATTAGTTTCTTGGCGCTGCTGTGGTGGATTCGCCAAAACTGAGTAGCTTAAAACAACAGAAATCTATCATCTCACGGTTCAGGGGAGTAGAATTTCCAAACAAAGGTATTGGCATGGCCGAGCTCCCTACGAAAACTGTAAGGGAAGACTTGCAAGCTTTTTCTTAGCTTCCGGTGGTTTGCTGGCAATCTTTGTCATTCCTTGGTTTGCAGATGCATTGCCCCAATCCTGCCTCCACCATGACATGGACTGTGTGTCTGTCTCCACAAGACTGTCTTCTTAATAAGGGAAACTGACATATTAAATTAAGGAGCCCACCCTCCTCCAGTGTGACCTCAGCTTAACTTGGCTAATCATTTCTGCAATGACCCTCTTGCCAAATAAGTTTCCACTGTGCAGTGCTGGGGTAGGACTTCAGTGTATTTTAATTTGGGGATGACGCGATTCAATCCATGTAACACGTTGGGAAGGAGAAACCCATGCCTTTTTGTCATAGCACCAAGACAGGCAGTGTCTGTCCTTGCAAAGATTTTCAATATCTTGAAGCATAAAGACTTCCATGCGGGTTCCCCAAGCCATAGCCAATCACGTTCACTACTCACATCGCACAATGCATTACTTACTTCACATCTAGACACATTCTTTTTACTGACTTTCATCAAACCACTTTTTCCCCTTTTACATGTTTCGAAAATAAACATTATATGATTTGTTTAAGTGCAAAGCTAGAATCATCCATCATACATGTTATGGAACTATTAAAAACATAGTGAGGCTGAAATAATGCTATTAATATTAAATTCTCATTAGCTCCTCCTGCCTAAGAAGCCATGAGTCTGAGGCTGGGTCTCTCCTAGAAAGGAAGGAGGGAGGGAGGAAGGAGGAGGGAGGGAGGGAAAGAGGAAAGAAGGAAGGAAGAAGAAGAACGGAAGGCGGAGGCGAGGGAGGGAGGACGGAGACGGAGGGAGAAGGAGAAGGAGAGGAAGAAGGAAAGGAAGCAAGGAGAGGAGAAGAAGGAGAAGAAGGAGGAAGGAAGGAAGGAGGAAGGAAGAAAAGAAGGAAGGAGAAGGAAGGAAGGAAGGGAGGGAAGAAGGAAGAGGGGGAAGGAAGAAGGAAGGAGGAAGAAGGAAGAAGGAATGAAGAGAAGGGAAGAGAAGGAGAGGGGAAAGGAAAAAATGAGAGAAGGAGGAGCAAGAGAGAGACAAAGTGAGAAAGGAAAATAACATTAATTCTATAGGTGAATAAGAACTACAGAACCAAATGGCTGCTTTACCAAACATATCAAAGTCGGGAAGAGCATTGTAATAATACTCTCTGCAACAAGCACTTGAACGGACCAGACAGCTCCGATCCTCCTGGACTCAAGTTCCAGCAGAATTCACTGAGGTACCAATGCCCTGAATGTCAGTCTGAAGCACCTGGACTATTGCAAACAGGAGCTATTTTTGTTCTTCAGACCGGCGGAGAGAACGAAATAACCTTCAGAGATATAGCAGTTAATTTTAAAACTTCATTGAAATGTCCACCTTAGATGACTCAACATGGTTCTATCAGGAAGTTGCTGAGAACTTCACCAACTCAGCGTGAAATCCAAAGTGTGATTGTCAAATAAATAGCCTAGGTGACCCCATTTCAGCAGCGGCTGTTGAACCAAAATACGGCATTTTCCATTGAGCAAGTGAGTGCTGGTGTACGGTTTTGTCATGATGGCTAAGAGGTAGCTGCTATTATTTTTCAATTTTATTTGATGATGGTCAGTCCCATGCAGAGGAAAATTCCCTGGTCCACGAAAGGCTCCTTCCACTGTTCCAGCGTGAGGAGGATGAACAAGAACGGCACCGTTAGGGAAGATCGTAGGACACACCATGCGTTGTGCATGTGTGAGCTGCCCTGTTAGAACTCTGCCTCTGTAAGTGAACACTCCAGAAGTGACCCACAGAACAGGAAGATCGTGCATGCCATCGCTGTCCTTTAGCACTGCAAAGGCCAGAGTGGGTAAGAAGAACAGCTAGTACACTGTCTGCCACAAAACAACCTGAGGTATCCTGCTGCCCCAGGACGTGCTCTCCATTCTATGTGTTAACTTCAACCCTCGTGCACCCACACACAGCAGCCTGGTCTCCTAATAGTCGTGGGTTTGCCAGATAGAGTGGTTGGTACTTGCTCTTCTTTAAAACATTGCAAAAACAAGCAGTTCTGATCCTCAGTCTAGGTTGGAACTCTATATAAATCTGGCATGCCAACTTTTGTTTTTGGTGAGCACAGAAAAATTGTCTTGTGTGTGCAGGGAAAAGAATGGAAGGAAGAAGAAGGAAGAAGAAGGAAGGAAGAAGGAAGAGAAGGAAGAAGGAAGGAAGGAAGAGAAGGAAGAGGAGGGGGAGGGAGGAGGGAAGGAGGGACATTTGATCTATGCTTCAAAACCATCATGTTATCAGCCTGTTGTCACGACGCATTACGAGAGAGGGCTCTCCTGTCATAGAAAGGCAGCATGCATGCGTGGTAGAAATGAAGACAAATTCAGTGAGCCTGTAAACCTGAATACCCTGACTGAGACAAGATATTGACAATCTATGAATGGCAAGGCCATAAGTGGCCCTTGCCATTTCTTTTGTATTTCTAATGGGGAAGTATTAATAAACTCTCAGACACGTGCCTAAGGGACATTTCCCTATAGCTAGAGCTGTTTCAATGCCCCAGGTGAGGGGACTAAAGTCTCGCTGGAAGAACAGCCATGTAACCCAAACACAAGGCATTCTAGAAATAGGCAGATTTCAAACGTTTTGTAAATGAGAAACAATGCTAAGGAAAAACGAAAAGCAACTCCAAAGTTTGGAAAGCGTTGCAGAGAATTAAAATCATTTTCCTGTAAAATATTTTTTAGGAAGAGGAAGAAAGTGGCTTGTCCTACCTGGTCACTCACACTCAGTGCTCAGTCATCAAGGACTAACTCGGTTTGATTTCGTGTGAAAGACGTAGATAAAAGGGAGTTAGGGAAACTAGTGTCTACACAAGATATAACGAAGAGCAGCACTTTAAACAATCAAACAACTGGTTATATATTGAAGACCTTATGTGCTCTTGGAATTCAGAAATAGGAAGAGAGCTCTGTCAAGGCGAAGAAAAACAACACACATTTTGATTTTTTTACTTTGTTTCTGCAAGTCTGGTGTCAGTGTGGTGGAATGGTTCGTATCTGTGGATTGCTTCGAAAGCTATCTCTACTTTGGAATTTGCTGATATCCTAGGATTAATTTTTCATCAACCATTGCCGAGCTTTTGGGGGAAAGAAAGAGGGAATGAGGCATTTAGCAAAGATGGGTTAGAAAGAGTCGCTACATAAATCTGGTTTTAAAAGTGATATATATATTTTTTTTTACCAAAAGGTATTTTAAGCTGAATGAATGAACATCCCCACTTGGAACCCAGGAAGACTCACTGGAGTCCCACGGAAAATACTAGTCTCATAACAGAGTTAACTTGGACAAGGTTTTAGGTGTAAGGAAAGCTTACATGACCTAAAGAAAGGAGCAGATGAGAGGTTTCGCTGACATTTTTACAGAAAAAAATAACCCTGCGTCTATCTCTGGCTAATGAAATGAACCAGAGGACCTTAGTGTATAACACTTGACTATCCGCTCCCAGTACTGTGTCTCAAATAAAATAGGACAGGCAGAATTTTATGTGTTAGGTGTTGGGGAATATAATACACGGTATGCTTTGAGTCTTTTACTAGAGAGACAAGACTGTGTTTTTATCCTTAATCGTTATAATCTTTAATTTTACTCACAGGAATTAAAACACTTCTTATGCCGAAGCAAATTCTAAAAAAAAAAAAAAAAAATGAAACGCTGGTATCCCACCTACAAATCTCACTGTCTCTGGAGTGTTTGCCAAGAGAGAATGGCTTCGGTTCTCATAATCTCCACGAGTTTTTCTTGCTTTAAGAATTCTGACTGTGCATCTCCAAGAACTTTAATAGACTGATCGTATCAGGCTAAAGCTTACTTATCTGGATTTCCCAAATCCTCTGCTTTATTCTTAGAGAACAATACAAATGTGGCTTTTTTTTTTTTTTTTTTTTTTTTACCTTTCAAATGTACACCAAATTCCTTCAAAAATAGCCTAGGAGCCAACATGAACAGAATACTCTTTTTCTTAGATGCCCGAGGCTTAATAAAAGGTCTACAAATCTAATAGACCCGATTCAGTAAAATCAGAGCAATGAAGAAAAAGTAGGACTCCTCACTCCCTTCCATTTCTTTAAGAACAATAAAAATATTTCCATCATGATTCCACTTAAATAGGATTTTTTCCCTAAAACATGTATTTGTATTTTCTATTGCGTGTAGAGGAATTTATTTCTTTAGACACAGTAAGTGGAAACAGTTTAAACATTATTTCAGAAGGCTTGAATAAAAGAAACTTGAGGTACTACTTTGAATTCATAATTTTTCTAAATACCATATAAGAATGCATAAATAATAAATAAAAAGCAGATTATTTTCAAATGTATTCATGTTTATAAATAAATAGCAAAGCTCATGATACAAGGATTTTTGTTTGTCTTATTTAGTAAAAAAAAGCACAGCAGTGTGTAGTTAGTTAAAAGGTACAGGTAAATGTAGTGTTCCTTCTGTAACAAAATATAACTCATCTATCTATCTAGATACATAGATACACACATATACACATATGTACTGTATATAATATACCATTAGTTTACTGTATAAACTGTGGCATACTTTTATATGGTATAAATATACAGTGTATACTTGTATACACTACACACAGGATACAATATACAGTGTACAGTATATTGTATGAAATACAGCATACTATTTTATAGTCCTTCCTCCCTGGCAATATTATAGGTGTTCTAATTCATATATTGGAAGAAAGGGGATAATATTTCTTGAATTCTTACCATATGGCAGGCATTTTGTAGACATCTTTTTATTTATTTTATTTTTTTATTTTTTTAATGAGACAGAGTCTCACTCTGTCACCCAGGCTGGAGTGCAGTGGTGTCATCACAGCTCACTGTAACCTCTAACTCCTGGGCTCAAATGATCTTCCTGCCTTAGCTTCCTGAGTAAGCAGGGACTACAAGTGTGTGCACCACTACACCCAGCTAATTTTTCAATTTTTTTATAGAAACAGGGTCTCCCTCTTGCTCAGGCTGGTGTCAAAATCCTGCCCTCAAACAATCCTCATCCTTTGGCCTCCCAAAGTGTGGGGATTACAGGTGTGAGCCACTACACCCAGCTGTAGTTTATCTTTTAACTTTCATCTCCTACCTCCAAGCCTAATAATCTCATCTACTATACAGATGAGTAAGGTAAGGCCAGCAGGAGTTAGGAAACTTGCTCAAGATTTCACAGTTGTACAGAGGCAGAGCTACGTGGACATGATTTATTTTACCACCACTGTCTCAGATTGAAGGGAAAAGCTTTTCCTTCAGCACCTGGAGCACCTGTGAAGTCAAGCATATTGTTTGAATCCTGCACCATGTGTGGTAACAATGAGGTAGAAGCAAGAACTTCAAGGAGGACTTTCAAGGAGGTCACCCAAACTTCTGCTTTGCAAGCAAATACACAATGGCGGGAGCCAATTTCATGAAAGTCCTGCCAGAAAATAGTCACCTTAATGCACACCTGGAGGTATTAACCAGGCTGTTGCAACTCCCCTCTTGCTTAGGTTTGCACATCACCTTCAAAATGTTCAATGCCAACCACTGGGTGACATTTTACCATGCCTAATCTCAAATTGTTTTTATGACAAATAAACATGAAGATGAAATTTCCTTCACAGCTCACTTTACCAAGCATAAAAAATGGAAGATAGGAGAATCTGGTATCTCTTTTTTAGGAGGGGAGGTATTGTCTTAAAAGATTTGGTTGCAAAGATGTTTGAAAGTTCTATGTGTTTTGGATTATCTCTAAATTCTAATCATTCTTCTTCCTGTGCCCAGCTGTGCAAATAATTATAAGATAATTCTCTGGGTCATAGTTAACAAGCCTGGTGTGTTATTTATCCTAAACATGTTAACTTCACTATATCTGAAAGTACCATTTTCCCCGAACTTCTTACAGTGAATGGAATGCTCTTTGATCTTCTAACTCAGTCTTCAGAAGGTATTTCCCTTCCAAATAAAGAGCAAAAACAAGCTGCATATGTCTACTCACAGACATTTTGTAATTATAGAGCCTATTTTTATTTTATTTTCAATATACAGTTTAGCTGTTAAAACTGCAACACCTATTCATTTATTTCAGAAGCGATTCTTGAGCAAGAAAGAGAATGCCCAGTTTTTTGAATAATAGCCTCTTAATCAGGATTTTGCAACCTCAGTGCTGTTGACATTTGGGGCTAGAAAACTTGTTTGTAACGGGGGTCTCTCCTGGTCCACAGGAAGACATTTATCATCTGTGACCTATGCCACCCATAGGACTATCCTGCATATATGGCAACCAAAAATGTCTCTAGGCATCCCCAAATATCCTCTTGGGGCAAATCACTTCCTGTTGGATGAGATTTTTCCCTGAAAAAGAGTTGAACTTGAGATACATTTTCCTAGAGACATTTATTTTTCCTTCCCGCCCCCCATTCAATGTTGAAGATCACTGGATACATTTAAAAAAAAATAGTAGGCATGTTATGGGAAATGCCATAATTCCAGCATATTTAAGATTAAAAAAAGAAGCTTTTAAAGAAAAAGAAAAAAGTAGTAGGCATATCTTGGGCCAAAGCTGAGTGTGCCTGTTGCTGCTTGGATATTTCGTGCTCATTGATAAATATGTACGATGAATGGATTGCAATTTCCTGATGTATTGGATTGAGAGATGTCCGTATCAAATATGGAAGAGTGTGACCTTTCTTTTCTTTTCTTTTCTTTTCTTTTCTTTTCTTTTCTTTTCTTTTCTTTTCTTTTCTTTTCTTTTCTTTTTTTTTTTTTTCTTTCTTCTTTGTTTTTCCAGGGACCCTAATCAGCCAGTGCCTCAGGACACCAAGTTCATCCATACGAAGCCCAACCGGTTTGAGGAGGTGGCCTGGTCCAAGTACAACCCCAAGGACCAGCTGTACCTGCACATCGGCCTCAAGCCCAGGGTGAGAGACCACTACCGGGCCACCAAGGTGGCTTTCTGGCTGGAGCTCGTCCCTCACCTGCACAACCTGAACGAGATCTTCCAGTACGTCTCCACCACCACCAAGGTGCCCCCGCCGGACATGACGTCGTTCCCCTACGGCACGCGGCGGTCCCCGGCCAAGATCTGGCCGACCACCAAGCGCCCGGCCATCACGCCCGCCAACAACCCCAAGCACTCCAAGGACCCGCACAAGACGGGGCCCGAGGACACCACGGTCCTCATCGAAACCAAGCGGGACTACTCCACCGAGCTGAGCGTCACCATCGCGGTGGGGGCGTCGCTCCTCTTCCTCAACATCCTGGCCTTCGCCGCGCTGTACTACAAGAAGGACAAGAGGCGCCACGAGACGCACCGGCGGCCCAGCCCGCAGAGGAACACGACCAACGACATCGCGCACATCCAGAACGAGGAGATCATGTCGCTGCAGATGAAGCAGCTGGAGCACGACCACGAGTGCGAGTCTCTGCAGGCGCACGACACGCTGCGGCTCACCTGCCCGCCGGACTACACGCTCACGCTGCGCCGCTCCCCGGACGACATCCCGCTCATGACGCCCAACACCATCACCATGATCCCCAACACACTGACGGGCATGCAGCCGCTGCACACCTTCAACACCTTCAGCGGGGGCCAGAACAGTACGAATTTGCCCCACGGACACTCCACCACCAGGGTATAGCTTTGCGGTCCCCTTCCCCGCCCGTGCGCGCCTCCCCTCCCTCCCTCCCTCCCGCAGCCCCTGCGCTCTGCAACGCAGAAGAAGAGACAAAGCGCCCATCTCCAAACCACGCGTGTCCGCAGCCCCACTGACTTGGGCAAGGAAAGGGCAACCGTCACGACCCTGCGGACGCACCCCACACCCCCGTTGGCATTTCCCAGTATGACAAGATCAACTTCCGACCCTGCGAAATGTGAAAGGCATACATTTCTGTTCCAATTACTCGCTTTACGATCTCCGCCAACCGCGCCGCCGCAGCGACGCACGGTTCGTGTGACCCGTCTGGGCCGTCCCCACTGCAAAGACGTGGGAGTTTCCAGCCGTCTCTCACGGTAGCAGCTGACCCTTCCGGAACTCAGTCAGCGGACACTTACTATTTTTTAATTATAATTATGAAAAAAAAAAAAAAAAGGGAAAAAAAGGGTTTCTTTATGTACCTACCACACCATGGATGGTGGCTCTGCTTAAGCGAAGAAAGAGTCTATGGGCTTTTACCCAGCATGTGGAGCTGTATTCCAGAGAGAAGGGGGGAGAAAAAAAAAAAAAAAGTAGAATTTTATTATTAAAAATTAAAGAATTGACTATGCAGTGAAATTCGTACGGTTCGGTGCAAAAAGAGATGTTTTTTTTTTTTGCCAGCCTGAACTCTATTTAAGAAGGGCATCTGAAATAGCAGATTTCAGAGTTTTGTAAATGAGAAACAATTGTTAAGGAAACGAAAGCAACTCCAAAGTTTGGAAAGCTTTGCAGAGAATTAAAATCATTTTTGGTTAATTATTTTATAGGAAGAGGAAGAAGTGGCCTTTGTCCATTACCTGGTCACACACTAGTGCCTCAGTCACAAGGCTAACTTCGGTTTGATTTCTGTGTGGAAAGACGTGTAAAAAGGGAGTTAGGAAACTAGTGTCTACACAAGTAAAACGGAAGAGCAGACTTTAAACAAATAACAATGGTTATTACGAAGACTATGTGCTCTTGGAATTCAGAGATAGGAGAGAGCTTGTAAGGGCGACGAAAAAACACAAATTTTTTTTTTTTACTTGTTTCTGCAGTGGTTCATGTAGTGGAATGGTTCTATCTGTGGATTGCTTCGCAAAGCTTATCTCTTGGAATTTGCTGTATCTAGATTATTTTTCATCCACCATCTGCCGCTTTGGGGGGAAAGAAGACGGATGGGATTTAGCGGAATGGTTAAGAAAGAGTCGTACAAAAATTGGTTTTAAAAGTGATATATTTTTTACAAAAGTATTTTAAGCTGACATGAATGAACCTCCCACTTGGAACCAGGAAGACTACTGGAGCCACGGAAATACTAAGTCTCATAAACAGATTAATTGGACAAGGTTTTAGGTGTAAGGAACAGTACCTGACCTAAAGAAAGGAGCAGATGAGAGGTTTCGCTGACATTTTTACAGAAAATAACTGGAGTCTATCTTTGCTAATGAAATGAACAGAGAGCCTTAGATATAACTTGGACTATCCATCCAGTACTGTGGTTTAATAAATATGGACAGGCAGAGCATTTTAGGGTTAGGTGTTGGGAAGTATAATAACGGTATGCTTTGAGTTATTTCTGAGAGACAAGACTGTGTTTTATCCTTATCATTATATCTTCAATTCTTACTCACAGGAATTAAAAATTATTATGCGAAGTAAATTCTAAAAAAAAAAAAAAAAAAAAAAATGAAACGCTAGGTATCCACTACAAATCTCACTGTCTCTGGAGTGTTTGCCAAGAGAGAATGGTTCGGTTCATAATCTCACGAGTTTCTTGCTTTAAAATCTGACTGTGCTTCCAAGAACTTTATAGGTGATCGTATCAGGCTAAAGCTTACTTATCTGGGATTCCCATCCTTGCTTTTATTCTTAGAGACAATACAAATGTGGCTTTTTTTTTTTTTTTACCTTTCAAATAGTACACAAATTCTTCAAAATAGCCTAGAGCCAACATGAAACGAATACTCTTTTTCTTAGAGCCGAGTTATAAAAGGCTCTACATCTAATAGCCGATTCGTAAATCGAGCAATGAAGAAAAGTAGGATCCTCACTCCCTTCTTTCTTTAAGAACAATAAATATATTTCCAATGATGATTCCTACTAGGTTTTTCCTAAAACATGTATTTGTATTTTCTATTGTGTAAGGAATTATTTCTTTAGACACAGTAAGTGGGAAAAGTTTAACATTATTTCAGAAGGTTGAATAAAAGAAACTTGAGCGTACTACTTTGAATTCATAATTTTTTAATACCATATAGAATGATTAATATAAATAAAGCAGATTATTTTCACGTATTATGTTTATAAATAAATGCAAAGCTCGATGATACAAAGGATTTGTTTGTCTGTTTAGTAAAATAAATGCACAGCAGGTGTGTAAGATTTAGTGTAAAGTTACAGTAAATGTAGTGTTCCTTCGTGTAACAAAATATAACTCATTATCTTCTGTACTAGATACACACATATACACATATGTATGTATATAATATACCATTAGTTTACTGTTAAACTGTGGCTACTTTTATAATGGTGATAAAGTATCAGTGTTACTTGTATACATACACACAGGTACAATATACAGTGTACAGTATATTGTATGAAATACAGCATACTATTTATAGTCCTTCTCCTGGCCAATATTATAGTGTTCTAATTACAGTATATTGGAAGAAATGGGATAATATTTTTGAATTCTTACCATATGGCAGGCATTTTGTAGACATCTTTTTATTATTTTATTTTATATTTTTTTATGGACAGAGTCTCACCTTGTCACCAGGCTGGAGTGCAGTGTTCTTACAAGCTCACTGTAACCTTAACTCCTGCGGCTCAAGTGATTTCCTGCCTTATTCCTGAGTAGCAGGATACAAGTGTGTGCACACCTAACCCAGCTAATTTTCAATTTTTATTAGAAAGGTCTCCCTCTTGCTCAGGCTGGTGTCAAAATCCGTGCTCACAACAATCCTCGATCCTTGGCCTTCCCAAAGTTGGTGGGGATTACAGGTGTGAGCACTCACCAGCTGTAGTTTATCTTTTAACTTTCATCTCCTACCTCCAAGTAATAATCTATTATATACAGATGAGTAGGGTAGGCAGCGGAGTTAGGAAACTGTCAGTTCACAGTTGTTACAGAGGGCAGGAGCTACCGTGGGACATGATTTATTTTCCCACCATGTCTCAGATTGAAGAAAAGCTTTTACTTCAGGCACCTGGAGCACCTGTGAGCAAGCATATTGTTGAATTCCTGACCATGGTGTGGAACAATGAGGTAGAAGCAGAACTTAAGGAGGATTTCAAGGAGGTACCCATTCTGTTGAAGCAAATAACAATGGCGGGAGCCAATTCATGAAAGTCCTGCAGAAATAGTACCTTAACTGCACACCTGGAGGTATTAACAGGGTGTTGAACCTTTGCTTAGGTTTGCAACATCACCTCAAAATGTTCAATGCAACACTGGGTGACATTTTACCATGACCTAATCTCAAATTGTTTTATGGGACAAATAAACATGAAGGATGAATTTCCTTCACGCTCACTATTACAAGCTAAAATGAAGATAAGGAGAATCTGGTATCTCTTTTTAGGAGGGGAGGTATGTCTTAAAAGATTTGTGCAAAGATGTTTTGAAGTTCTATGTGTTTTGGATTATTCTCTAAATTTAATCATTCTTCTTCTGTGCCGAGCTCTGCAAATAATTATAAGATAATTCTCAGGTCATAGTTAACAAGCACACCAAGCTGGTGTGTCCTGCTCCCCACATGCACATGACTGTGTGCTCTGTCTCCACAAATTCTTCTTAATAAGGAAACTGACATATTTAATTAGGAGCCCACCCTCCTCCAGTGTCGATCACGCTTAACTAGGCTAATCATTTCTGCAATGACCCTCTTGCCAAATAAGTTCACTGTGCAGTAGCCTGGGGTAGGACTTTCAGTGTATTTTAATTGGGGATCGAATGCGGATTCAACGCATCGCTGAGCACGTTGGGAAGGAGAAAGCCATGCCTTTTGTCCATACCACAAGACAGGCAGTGTCTGTCCTGTGCCAAGATGCATTCAATCTCATTGAGCATACACACCACTTCCATCGGGTTCAACCAATAGCCAATCAGTCTTCACTACCTCAGCATCCAAATGCATTACTTACTTCACATGTAGACACATTCTTTTACATGGACTATTCATCAACACTTTTCCCCTTTTACATGTTTCGAAAATAAACATTATATGATCTGTTTAAGTGCAACAGCTAGCAATCTATCATCGTACCATGAGTTAACTGGAACTACAGCGCAGAATAGTGAGGCTGAATTAAGCTATATATATTAAACTTCTCATGCTCCTCCTGCCTAAAGAAGCTATGAAGTCTGAGGCTGGGTCTTCCTTAGAAAGGAAGGAGGGAGGGAGGAAGGAGGGAGGGAGGGAGGGAGGAGGAAGAAGGAAGGAAGAAGAAGGAAGGAAGGAGGAGGAGGAGAAGGAGGGGGAGGAGGAGGGAGGAAGGAAGAGAAAGGAAGAAGGGGAAGAAGGAGAAGAAGGAGAGGAGGAAAAGGAAGGAGAAGGAAGGAAGGAAGGAAGGAAGGAAGGAAGGAAGGAAGGAAGGAAGGAAGGAAGGAAGGAAGGGGAAAGGAAATAAATAGGAGGGAAGGAAGGAGAGAAGGAAAGAAATAAACGCAATTAATTAGTTCTATGAGGTGATAATGAACTTCTAGAACCAAATGGCTGCTTTTTACCAAGACATCATCAAAGTCAGAGAGCATTGAAAATACTCTCTGCAACAAGCACTTGAACGAGGACAGACAGCTCCGATCCTCCTGGACTCAAAGGTTCCAGGCAGAGATTTCACTGAGGTAACCAGAGCCCTGAATGTCAGTCTGAAGCACCTGGACTTTGTCCAAACAGGAGCTATTTTTGTTTCTTCAGACCACGTGAGGTAGAACTGAAATAACCCTTCAGAGTATATTAAAGCAGTTAATTTTTTAAAATTCATGTGAAATGTCATTAGGATGACTCACATGGTTCTTCAAGGAAGTTGCTGAGAACTTCACAACTCAGGTGAAATTCAAAGTGTGATTTCAAATGTAAATAGCTTAGGTGACCCCATTTCAGCAGCGGCTGGTTGAACCAAAATACGGGGCATTTTGCCATTGAGCAGAGTGTAGTGGTGTAGGTGTTTGTTCATGAATGGCTTAAGAGGTAGCTGCTAGTTATTTGTTCATTTTTAGTTGAGTGATGTGGTCAGTCCCATGCAGAGGAAAATTCCCTGGTCACTGAAAGGCCTCTTCACTGTTCCAGGTGAGGAGGATGAACAAGAACGGCACCATTAGGGAAGATGTCTAGGACACACCATGCGTTGTCATTGTGTGAGCTGCCCTGTTGAACTCTGCTCTGTAGGGAACACTCTCAGACAGTGACCCACAGAACAGGACAGGATAGCATTGCATGCCATCGCTGTTCCCTTTTATGCACTGCAAAGGCAGGGTTGGGTAAGAAGAACAGCTTGTAACATGTCTGTCACAAAACAATTCTGAGGTATTCTGCTGCCCCAGGACGTG